ACTTTTTGTTTACAATTACTAATAAAATATTATCAGGTTAAAATAGTGAGGAAATGGTGTGATTCATGTTAGGTAATTATGCATGTTATACACATAGCTAGGTTTAAAATATTCCTAATAAGGCTAGTAGTGAACAAGTGACGAAGTCATCTCACTTTTGACATATATATTGCACAACTCATAGATCACAATGTGGTTAGTGGCTTGCAACACTGTTCCTTCACATCTGGGTTTGAATTCAGTCTGTTCTGCTCTCTCCAGGGTCTGTTAAATGAAGAAAGAGCCAAAACTTAATTTCCAGGGCACCCAAATTGAAAGCACAAGATATCCCATTATTTGATATGAATAAAAATTAAATTGCCGCTCCTGCTCAGTGCAATCACAGAGATAGTAGCTGGGTGAGAACTGAAAGTCACATATGGTCTTAGATGAAAGCTTATCCTGAGGTGAGAATTAAGTTTAATGTTGTGGCAATAGAGAAGGAGATTTTCTGTATCTGGTATGTGCTATACCAGGAATAAAGAGTGCTTGAGGCTGACAGAAGCTAAAACTTCGCTTTGGTAAATAGGCTTTGGGCCAGTTTATTCAAGGGTCAGTTAAGAAGGTTCAGACATTCTGGCTGCAGTATGCTATGTTCCTGCTGGTTTTCTGCTTTTTAGATTCCAAATACTACTCTTTACTTTACATTGTTTAATTATGTTGCAAAGATTTACATGAGACGTAGTGTGATATCTGAAGTGTGTCTTTGAAAGTCTTATAATCGGAGGAAGTGATGAGACAGATTGATATGCAGGGAATCAAAAATTCGTCCATGAACTGTAATTTTAATTTACCTGGTAACATAAGGTTCTCTGTAAGAGTTTATGTATGTTCTTTCAAATTAGTTTGAATCTTTAAGGAATTTAGAAAAAGTAATAAAAATCAACTCCAGTGCAGAAAATCTGTTAGATCTAACTACAGACGTTTGAATTATTACAGTGTATTTGACTACAGTGATCCAAGTATTTCACCAGTGCAAGTGTAGACATGACACTTATTGACGTTCTGTGAGTGAATAGTTTAGCAATCCAAAGGAGCTAATTCAAATTCAGCTGTCCAGACTCCCTCTGCTTCTCTAATATCAACTAAGTCATAAGATTAGGTTTCAGTCTGTAAACATTGGCATAATCAGATTTTTTTTACCATTATGGTATAATAGCTGCAAAATTCAATAAACATTGAGCATTTCCTTTCTAAAACTGGCTTATTTCTTGCTGTAGTGATTGTGAGCCACCCAAAACAAGTTACCTGAAACAACTTTAGGATGCAATCTGAAACCATTGTGGCTTTGCACAAGCTTACTTCAGTTATATAACATCAATTTAAGGTTAAAGCTTTGCTGTGTTAATAGAATTTTAGGAAATTCCTATTCACTCAAATCATGCACCCAAGAACTTTTGAAATGTATTTTGTATTAATATTAGTGCACTGGAATTCAATGCTTCAAAGGGTGCTGGAAGCTGATTCAGCAGTAACTGCAGATGCGCTTTAGAAGATTTTATGAAGTGCTACTTTACATGTAAAATGTGCAGTAGCAACATGGATATAAATTTGCTAAGTGACAGGCAACAGAGAGAAATAAGGAATAGTTTCTTCTCAAATTGTAGGAAGTTATATAGTAGGGTTCCCTAAGGATCAGTATTAAGACCACTATTTTTCTTGATATATGTTAATAGCCAAGACTTTGGTTCATAGACCACAATTGCAAAATTGTGGATGATGCCAAAAATATTATGAATTGTGAGGAAGAAAGTGATAAACCTCAAGAGTACTTAGATGGGCAAACAAGTAGCAGATGAAATTTATTGCAGAGAAATGTGAGTTGATAAATTTTGGTAGGAAAAATTGAGGAGAGGTAATATAAAATGAAATCAGTTCTAAAGGGGATGCAGGAATATATATGCACAAATGGTTGAAGGTGGCAAGGCAGGTTGAAAAAATGATCAATAAAGTGTTTGTATGATTATATATATGGATTATTTTCTTTGTGGGTGTCACTGGCTAGGCCAGCATTAATTGCCCATCCCTAGTTGTCCTTGTTTCCTAGACACTATAAAGTACAAATGTACTGTATCAAGATGAACATGCATAAAACCCTGGTTTGGCTTCCATAAGAGCATTGAATCACAGTTAGGAAGGATGTGAAACTTTAGCAGAATACAAAAGATGTTTATGCGAGTGATTCCAGCTATGAGGAACACCAGTGACATGGTTAGATTGGAGACCCTTGGGCTGTTCTCCCAAGAGAACAGAACATTAATTGGAGATTGGAGGTGTTCAAAATTATGAGCAGTCTGAATAGATTAGATTGAGAGTTACTGTTCCCATCAGTGGGTTAATCATGCAGCAGAGGACACTGATTTAAGGTAATTGGCAGAAGAAGCAATCATGAAATGAGGAAAATCTTTACACTGCAAGTGGTTAGATTCGAAATTATACTGTCTGAGAATGTGTGGAGGCAGATTCACTCAAGACCTCAAAAAATGATCTGAACTGAAGAGATTTACAGAGCAATGGGAAGTATATGAGGTAGTATGGTCTTATAAAGTGCAACATGGGCATAATAAACTGAAAGGCCTTCATCTGTGCTGCCACCATTCTATAATTCTATATTCTTGAAAAGATATCTTAGAATCATGAGGAAGAACAAGAGAGTAGGATTCATTGTATAGTTCTTTCAAAGAGCTTGCATAGCTACCGTAGGTTAACTGGCCTTGTTCCATTCTGAAGGAGTTTATGATCAACGTTAACAGAAAGCTGTAACATTTAACATCATTTGGATGCTGATATGCAGAACTTTGTTTACATTTTTTGGACAGCAATATAAATCAGGTCTGCTGGGCTGCAGATTCTGCTAAATCAGGAAACATAGCTTCAGCCCTATAGACCAATCTAGGGAGCACTTTGATGTTGCATTCATGTTACAATGGCACTCACTTTCAAAGCCACAGAGGCAAAAAAAACTTCACTCATCTCCAGTCTGTGAAGTGCACATATATACCCACAAACTGTTTCCTATCTTCTAACCAACTTCTGATCCAAACTGCCAAGGACCCATCAATATACAACATCCACAGCACTACCCTCAGCCACTGTCTGTGCCACTTCATCAATGAACTCAATTAAATTTGTCAGACATGACCTGTCCTTGACAAAATCATGCTGACTGTCTAGTATTAACTTCCTTTTCTCTAAGTGTATATTTATTTTATCCCATATTGAGGCCTCTACCAGTTTTCCTACAATTGATGTCAAGCTGAAGGTCTGTAGTTTCCTGGGTTATCCGTTGCCTCTTTAGAGGTTTTTTTGGGATAGCTGAAAGAATAATGGAAAGTGGCAGTTTTGTCTGTAAATTGAAAACCTGCTGGAAGGATATTAACACTGCCATAGTCATGGCCTTAAACAGCAGTGTCACATTTTTAACCTTCCAGTCCTCCATGACTAATCCTGTGTTTAGAGACATCTGGAAATTATCTGTCAACAGCTCTGCAATTTGCTCCTTTGCCTCTCTCAGGAATCTAGGATGCATCCCATCCGGGCTGGCAGCTTCTCTACCTGGAGTGTTGCCAGCCTTTTCTTTACACTGTTCAGTTGCTCAAAATCTACATTTTCAACTAGTAGCCATGATGTGGAGGTGCTGGTGTTGGACTGGGATGGACAAGGTCAGAAGTCACACGATACCAGGTCATAGCCCAACAGGTTTATTTGAAATCACAAGCTTTCGGAGTGCTGCTCCTTCATTAGGTGAAGTGATGAGAAGCACACAGGCACAGAATTTATAGACAGAGAAATCAAAAGATTGTACAAATGGTGTGAGTGGAGTGTCAACAGGGCTGAAAAACGGGTCTCTGCAGGCGATCAAAAGTGTCAGACAGTGTAAGCAAGTGTCAACAGCTCAATAGCAAGGAAGGGATGACCTATGAGCTGATTAATTGAGACAGAGAGATAATTACAAAAAATTAGAAATAAGCTGGTGCTGGAGACAAACCAAATGGCTGGAATACATATTAGATATGAGAGTCATATGTCGAGTGTCTAATCAAAGTAACAAGTAATCCAAAACTGTACAACGTAATTAAAGTAGAGAGATCATAACAAGTTATCAAGGTGATGGTGTCAAAACAGGACAGTAAGGAAGATTTTAAAAATACAGAACAGTATGGTGGGGTTGCATATAGCACAACATGAACCCAAAATCACTGTTGAGGCCATATTTATGGGTGTGGAACTTGGCTGTTAGTTTCTCCTCGGCAATTCTGTGTATCTCAAATTCCATGCCTATGTGCTTCTCTTAATGTGCCTCAATTAATCAGATCATAGGTCAACCCTTCACTTGCTATTCAGCTGTTGACACTTTACTTACATCGTCTGACACTTTTGATCGCCTGCAGACACTTGTTATTCAGCCTGTGGGCACTCAACTCACAACATTTGTACAATCTATTGATCTCTCTGCCTATAAATTCTGTGCCTGTGTGCTTCTCTTCACTTCACCTAATGAAGGAGCAGCACTACGAAAGCTTGTGATTTCAAATAAACTTGTTGGACTATAACCTGGTGTCATAGGATTGCTGGCCATTTTCAACTGGGCCATTGTCACCACTTTCTAATTTGGTAAAGACAGAAGCAAAGTATTCATTTGTACCTCTGTCATACCCTTTGCTTCAGTAAGTACTCTGCTTGTTTGTTATGGGGCCCACTCTATCCTTCACTAATCTTTTACTGTTAATCTGTCTGAAGAACATTTTACGATTTGTTTTAATGCAGCTTGTCATCCTTTCCTCATACTTCCTCTTAGCTTTCCTTATACCAGTCTTAGACCCTTTCTTGCATATAAATACAAGGAAACTGGTTTTAGCATCTTCAAAAATTAACAGGGATGAAAGGGATAATCTATCTACTGATTTCTCAGAGAAACCTTCCAAGATAAAGAGAATAACTTTCTTCTTTTTTATTATCAGAGACAGTGGAACAGGGAACGAACAGATTAATCAGGTTAGTGAAATCCAGAGTTTACTACTTCAGCCTGAAAATTGCTAATGTCAGTTAAATTTACACACTAAAATGCCACTTTCCATTATTCTTTCAGCTATCCAAAGAAAAAGGAAATATCCAAAGATGAAACCTACTGGAAGGAAATTAATGCTGCCATGGCCTTAACTAATCTGGCACAAGCAAAAGACAAAATTCAAGGAACGACCAGCTGTATCATTCAAAAGTCCTCACATATTTCTGAAATAAAGACATTGAAAATTTCACCGGGTAAACCATTTTAAAGTGAAAAACTTAAATGACTTAAAGCATTTCCGAAGCAAAGCTATTCCGTGTATATATATTTTTAAAAAAAATCTACAACCAATGCTGACTCCTGGCTCTTGAAGCCAGTTTAGAACAAATCCATTTTTAAAAATCTAATCTTATGTTTATTAATATATTTAGAATCTTGCAGCAATTTTTAAATCTTTTGTAATAACACATATTTTTGCTGTTGTTGGCCAGCTTTTTTTTAAAACAAGAACTGACTGTAAATTGTTAAAATGGTACAATTTCTATAAAAGTATTAACTTATTTTATGTTACTCAAATTAATCTTTGACATCTCATGTTGGTGTTGTCAACATGAATATAATGTAATATAAATAATATATCAATAAGCTACATGTTGCACACTGAAAGCATATTTGCCATAATGAAATTGTACTTTCGTATAACATGATCAGTTCCATGTTGTAAGGCTCTTATTTGACAAACAAAACAGAAAAATGTCTACAACATGGAATATACATTGTGGTCCTGGAAAAAAACATTGTGATTGTTCTGGCATGTCACTTTATTTTGACTTCAGTTATAGCTTGTTGACTTTGCTTTGGCTCAGAGAACACGTGTTGAAAATATATGACAACTGGCATATCATAAAGGTCTAAACAGTGATCTAATTAGAAGCAGCTAACTTATGCACTCAGGATTCAAACATGCTGAATTATTAGCCAATTTTAAGCTGGAAGGCTACAAAGACAAACTGATGCTCAAAACGTTGCCTTTCATAGTGGTAATATTTCAATATTTCTAAATCTGATGAATACGTCAGCGTGCATTGGCCTCCATAAGCAACTAGTATTATTTCATTTAATACATATAGGTACTTTTAACAGAATAAGATAAAGAAATAGAAAAAGCTGATCATAACAGAATAACTGGCACAGGAACTGTCTATAATATACTGAGTGTATGGCATTTCTGAGGGGTGAATTAAGATGTTACAACTATAATAAAGATCATCGTGCACCAATTTTGCCTACTTATATCTAAATTTCATTAAAAATATTAGGACATTACAAATAGGCTGAAAAAAGCAGAAATCAGCAAAAACAATAGGGTCCCAATGAGTAACAATAGAAGACCAAATAAAATGATGTTGTTTCCTGCTGGGTTTAAAATTCTGATGCTAATTTTATACTGTATGAACCATGATAAATGACTTGTTAAACTGGGACAGAACCATCAAAATTACTCACAATGTATTTGGAGTCAGCGAATGATAGATGGATGTAAAAGAACAAGACCATTTAGGCATAGCCTACTTGCACATACAACACATTTGTGTCCAATTTTGCTCAAAATTTAACAATCTTTTTGCTTCGCATTCAATTACACATGTCTTTGTAGATGGTTACCCAGGGAATTCCACCTCATCATATAAGTGCACCATTGTTGTCTTCAAAGATCTATTAATTTGCTTGCCAGTTATATATTTTATGATCAGATACAATGGAGTTGTGTGCTGTTTCTACCTAAAAACCACCTTAAGGAGGTAGCCTCACATTTCTTCAACCTTGTGCCTACTCCTGTATAACTACAGCCAGTGAAAAGTGGAGTTTAAGCAGTCTGTCTGAGAACTTCCAACCTTACTTTCTGATAATATTAACAAGACATGAGGGACATGGATAGGTTGAATAGGCAAGGTCTTTTCCCCGGGGTGGGGGAGTACAAATTTAGAGGGCATAGGTTTAAGGTGAGAAGAGAAAGATTTGAAAGAGACCAAAGGGACAACTTTTTCAGTCAGAGGGTGGTGCATGTATGGAATGAGCTGACAGAGGAAGTGGTGGAGGCTGGTACAATTACAACATTTAAAAGGCGTCTGGATGTGTATATGAATAGGAAGGGTTTGGAGGGATATTGGCCAAATACTGGCAAACGGGACGAGATTAATTTGGGGTATCTGGTCAGCATGGACAAGTTGGATCAAAGGGTCTGTTTCCATGCTGTACAGCTCTATGACTCTATGAGTCAATGTTTCCATTACATTCCTAACATGAAAATGCTTCTGGCATTCAGATAATTGTGACCAACTACCAAACACATCACTTGCACAAAATTCTGGAATGTCAAAAGAATTTGTACATATTTTTCCTATTTAAAAGAAGAAAATTGTAATTGCTTATGTTGCAAATATAAAAAAAATCCAATGGAATATTTTAGGGCCACCTAGCATAAAGTCATTCCTAACATGCTCTTCTGTTTGTGCAATGAACATAGTGTATTTTGAAATGTTATTTGTAAATATTTTTATACCTTTTGTGCAAACTGTTAAAAATAGCAATTTGTTATATGCCTTTAGGTGTAAAGCAAATAATTGAATTATGTATTTTGGCATATACAAAAAAAAAACTGCTTTAAAAAAGCTTTTTATGGTAGTGTCATTCTTTTTAATATATCACAAATTAAACAAAATAATAGTTCTAAGATTGTTTTATTATGTAGTCTCTTTCTGAGTAGTTTAATTATTCTGATGTGTTCAGTAAGCAATTTGTTGCAATTATTATTATAAATTTATAAATTATCACAACAATAAACAATAAAGTACATGACATTTATAATTTCTGCTACATATACTTTTGACAATTCTTCATAAATTGCAGATCATCAATGGCATTGTGGAATACAGTTTACAACTGGATGCTGTGACAGTTTGAAATGAGAAGTGATTTCATGCTTGTAAAATTACATTTTCGTTACCAGAGAGATTGTTCATAAGTAATTATGATCTATCAAGCTTCCTCTCCATTCCCACCCCAATAGGTCTTACCAAGTCCTAACTCTTTTTTTCATATGTTTAAAGAAATTCAGTGGTTAAGTACTGATTCATGCTTTTCAATGTTGTGTCTCTTAGAAAGATATTGGTATAGCAAAAACAAGTGTAGATCCTTAAGGCAAATCAGACAGCAATTTCTTAATTTCCACATTTAACTGCACATGTCCAGATATAAGAGTCACTATCTAATTTATAAATCTACTATTATGGGGATGATGCTAGAATCACTAATATTCTGCTCACAATACCTTAGCTGGTTCCAGTTCTGTGCTGACAGTCCAAAAAGATAGTGTCTTTTGATAGCGTGATTTACAATCCTCTCAATATTTTAAAGACTTCAATCATGTGCCTTTGATCAAGTTCTAACCTCTGAGTATTGTTTCATAATTTAGAACTTCATTTCATAGAATTTTCCCTTATCCCTCAACAAGCCTTACATTTACTCTAAAAGAACTATACGTGCAAAATTGCACATAATATGTTAGTATGTCCTTGCTAGTGAACTATATATGTTTGTAATGATTTATTCTTTAATGCCCTTCAGTTTCAACTAGGTATGTATTTGATTGCATATGCTAATTCAAGTTTTATTCTGATTGGAACCTTTCAGTGCAGCCAGTAATCATTTTCCTTCCTCTACGGATGGAGATTGTTTCATTTTGTACATATTTGCAGTTTCTTTTTTTTTTAATATTCATTACTTTACATTCACTGAGATTAAAATTCAACTGCTGTTGCTTTGATTAACCCTTTGAGTGATTTTCCATGAGTCAAGTTTTCAACTTTTTGAAATAAACTGAGCCTAATCAATGGCTGTCTGGGACTGAAAAAGAAATGTTATTGACTGGATCTTTTAAAATTAGCTCATAGAATGTGGATGTTACTGGTTAAGCCCATCCCTAATTCTCCAGAGAGCAGTTAAGAGTCAAATAAATTGCTGTGGGTGTGGAGTCATATGTAGATGGGACTAGGAAAGGATGAGAGATGTCCTTCCCTGAAGGACAATAATGAACCCTTATGACAATGGTTACATGATTGCCATTAGGCTAGCATTTTTATTCAAATCATTGTCCCCAGAACATTAGCCTGGGGTTCCATATTACTAGTCTAGTGGCACTACCACTGTTACCAACTTCCCTCACTACTGATTTGGGAATCTATTCCAAGTAAATGAGTGAGGTTTGACCTCTAGAACATCTAGTCCTAGTCTATTTATGCTTCCCTGAAGTGTCTTGGGATATTTATGTATTACAAGCAATACAGAAATGCAATTTGTTGATGTTGGTATTGTCTCTGCATTCTTTAGAAGGTTCGTGTTGCTTTGAGCTAATGTTTTATTCTGAATCTTGACAATCAGGCTGTAAATCCCATCAACTGATGGACCATATCAAACAACATGTCCCGTTGACCATTCATAGTGCGCAGCATGCTGAATGTGCTCAACCAAACTGTGCTTTCTAACCTCAGCACACCATGTTGGACAAGTGACTTTTCAATTGCACACATTTATTAAATGATCCAGATTGTGTTAAAAATCATATCAGAAAACCAGTTTAAGATTGTCAGACAGGCCTGCAGTTAGATGCATTTGTATGAGAAGCTATGTATATTAATGTACAGAACCCTGTTTTATGTAGGTAAAAGGAATTCAAACATACATTTTACTTCTAATTTGAAAAAAATTGTCTTGAAGTCTGCCAATCTCTGTATTCCCATGGCAACACCCTGGCCGATCAGACCCGACCTGACAGGTCTAACAACTAAGATTAACAATTATCTGTCCCTGCTGCATCTCTATGACAATGATGGCCCAACTAAGCAGTTTCCCCTTTTCATGCTGTATAGAATGGTGTCACATTGTTCAAGCCTGTTTCTTGTGCCCTGGCTGTGATGAGTGCAAGATGAACTATTGCAACTTGGTCTCCTTTCAGTGGTTTCAATTCTATACAATCAAACAATTATTTAATAACTTCCAGGGTTAATTCTCACTACCTGCTTTGAGTTCTGGAATCATTTAGTTATTCCCTCCCACTTTTTGTGAGAGTAAGTTCTGCTCGGTTTTTCCCCCAAGTTGTGCCCCAAGGTAATTAAGCGAAACTTTAGGATATCTGTTCCATCTGTCTTTCCACTATTCATTTCTGAACAGTTTTATTCTCTTGGTCATGCACTGAAGAGTTTCCTTATATATGTGTTGTCTTCGTGTTATAGGAATAATTTCATAAATCTGATTTTTCACACAACTGTCTTATTGTTTGAGCTAGTGTTTGAATATTGAATTATTCTTCCTTGAACCTATTGATTGTGGGTTGCTTCTCAGAGGCTCCAGACACCTATACCATTTTCAAGA